AATTTCTACCGGGTCAGCGCATTTTTTAGCGATATTTTATCGCTATTTTGCAACGTTATCGCGAAAATAGTAATTTGTAGGAAGAAAATATTGCACGAAAGCTCACCCCTCCAATAACATTTCCTCCTCTGTGCCTCGTTGATTTTTTATCCAATAATTGATTGTGTTCGGGAACGCCTCGACGTAACACTCGAGCTGTACGTCTGTACCCAAGGGAGCTCCCAGTAGTTGGTTGGGTGCCTTTACGACGGGTGCGACTATGGAAATAAAATAAGTCTACAAATTGCAAAATTCATGATTACACGTGAGGGAAGTTTCAAAAATATTTCGGAAAAGAAATTTGATTTTTACCCGATAAATGCTATCGAAAAGTTTTTTCTTATTTTACCACGTGGTTTCTAAATAAAAATTTCAAGCATCTTTTATGACGTAAATTCGAAATTTCTTTCTAAAACTGTATGCTTCTCTGCTACACGAAACAATCGGTTTTTGAATATAGAGCAAAAGTGACCAATGGACACTTACGCAGAAGCATTGTATGGTAAAAATATAATTTGCGTAAACAAGTTTCAGTGTGATGCAAACAGTTAAAAATGGAATTTAAACAAAAGATTGGCTTATCAATTTAAACGCGATTTTTAAAGCAAAATAGATTTGGAAATTGACGTCACATTGTAAAAAAAAAAACGCTTGAATTTATTTTCGAAGATCACGTAAAGAAATAAATAATACATAAGTTTCATTTTTGAACACATTAAATAAAAATGAAATTTTTTTCTCTTTAAATGCGGTTTATTTTTTGAAGCTTTTCTCGCATATAGCAATATTCGTTTTTAAAGCAACCGCGATAAGTCGTCGGCTATGCAATTGTTTTTCAACTCGATTAGCGAATTACTTTTCGAGAGATAATCAGTGAATCGGATCGGATTGGATCGGATCAAGCGAGCGAATCAGGCTTACAATTCACAGCGAGCGTCACGCGCTTGCTAACCGCTGGAGGCACGTCGTTGCTGGCGATGCAGAGATACGCTCCCATTTGCCGCCTCTCGACACGGTGGAAATGTAGCAGTGAACCGTTGTAGTGGTCGTGCTTCTCGAAAGGGTTACCACCTGCGTACAGGAGAGGTATTTTACTATGTCCAGAAAAGACGATCGATCGCGATCTCGTTCTTGGCTTTCTGTTTGTTTCGACTAAAACAATAGAGCTCGGTAACTTTGGACTCCGATTACAGCGAAAGAGCATTACGAAAATGCATTCAAAATTTAGTTCAATGCAAAGCGGATATAGAAAGTGGCGATTGGTTAGCTAAAAAGTTCATGAAAATGTATATCCTTGATTCTTATTGTCAGATTTATTTTAGACGGCTATGCGAGTTTGTTGAGAAAAGCACGCGCGTGTTGCTATTGAAAGTGAACGTTAATGAGAAACCCGAAAATAGCTGCGAAAGTTGCAAGACTACAGGCACGCTAGCAAATTCCTGGATAGCAACCGCTCGTACGGAATAGATAGTTACGCCGACCAGTTTTGCTAACTTGAGAGAGAGACTCACGATTCGTGAATGCAAGCGTATGCGCCAATTTACGCGCTACAGCTCCGGCTCTCTATATAACGTACACGCGCGCACAAGCCGAGACACCATCGAGAGGAAGTACTCTCTTGGTTGCTCTTGTGCTCTTTCCGCTTTCTCCCTCTCTCTCTTTTTCGTTCCACCTGTCTTCGTCTTCGAAGCCAGTTCACAAAGAGGAACTTGTTTCAACGAGCTTACTCGTTACATCTACCCCGTTCACGTTCCTACACCCCAATCTATCCGCGGAGAATACGAGTTCGAAAAGTCTCCGGTTCTCTTGACTTGCCGCCGACTCTCAGTCCCGGCCACTTTCTCTCTGTCTGAACTGATCCTCGGGATCGCGACCGTCGTAGTCGTTTTTGCGACGTGAAAGGAATATCGATAAACAACTGTGACTTTTACATTGATTCGTCATTAATGGAAGTTCTTGAAAATTTCGTATTTAAATCGCACGATGGATCTAAATGCAAACCTCATATTCTCTGAAATCTTTTGAGATTTATTCATATATTTTATTGCATTCTGTAAATGAAGAGAAATAAGATTATATGGAAATTAATTTTAATTAAATTATATTAAATTATTCAAATTAAAATTATACAAAGAGAAATTTAATAAATTTTACACAGCGAAATTTTTGTGCTACAGTTGTTTTGCACTTGTATTGTAAAAGTACGAATTATGAAAAAAAGTGTGTTTTACATTTAATAAATATCGGGGAAGAAAAAAGAAAGAGTTTTATGATAAATTCTTTATATATTTATTTTATATGTTTGCACGCGTGAGTAATCGAGTCAATTCGATAAAATTTTGATAAATTCGATGAAAAAATTTTTTGCGCTCCGACAAAGTGTGCCTTTATGATTTTGCATTCTGATGTGACGCGATCAATAGTGAGGCGACAATAATAGTAAGTGCAATACGGAAAGGATTCGTCCTCGTCTCCGAACTCCGATAATAGGTCGTGCTTTAACGCATGTCGACCAAGCGACTATGAGGTAACTAAGATATTAGTAGCACTTAATTATCCTATTAATATCGAATTATGCTAGCGTATATAGCATCTACTAGTACTCACGAGAATGTCGCTGTATCTCTTAGTATTTAATGCATATCATGCGTCTATCTCTCCCTTTATTGTAGTACTTTGGAGTGAAGAAGTTGAAGTCTTAATTTCTTAATTACCTGCATCACATTACTTTTTATTTCGCTCACTTTGTCGATATAATTTTATTCAAATCTATGTATAAAGATATTGTATTGCATTAATTAGTATGTCTTTTTAACAACAAATCATTTACTTATAGATTTTCAATATAAATGAACAAGATAGTTAAGTGTTGATTTTAATAATGTCTTTGCTATGTCAAAAAATGACATTGTGTTACTTTTCATTTTTTTAAGAAAGAAAGTAAAGAAATTGTTATTGTTTTCAATATGTCTGTTGAACGTGCCTGCGTCAAGATATCATTTCCGAGACAAATGCTTTTAGATACTATCTTGCTTTGAGGCGACAATTAATGACACAGATTAATAAAAAAAATGAAAATTTCAATTTTTTACACTCCACTGTAATTGACAGTAATTCTTACTGGCTATGGAAGCCCTTATGGTGATGGGCTGTCCGTCCTCTCTTCGCCAAGACACTCTCGGAGGCGGACGTCCCGTCGCTCGACAGCTCAAGGTCGCGTTGTCTCCCTCCGCCACTGCTAGATCAGCGCTGGTATCACCTCCGTAAACGATGTCGGGCGGTACTGCGGGACAAATGCGGTCATACCGGTAAATGCGTAACGGGCCACCTACCCTTCTTTTCTCAACGAGAGAACATCCCCCATTCCTCGCTCTTCGTGCGAGTACTTTATGAAAGTCATTACGTAAAACCGGCACTTGGTTGGGTCGTCTTTGAAAGGACGAGTATCCTCGAGGACCGTTTACGGTAAAGGCAAGTGGATAGGGAGCGAGAATAGGTATGCTTAAGTAGAACGGGTTCGAGACGGGCAAGGCGGGAGGAAGAAGTAATTTTACGGAGAGGATCTTTTGTACGTTGACGTACGCGTTTTCCTGTTGTTCGCTCGTTCGGGCAGACTCAAAGGCTCCGCATATGAGACGTACCTTCGCTTATTCTTCGGCATTTCGATTTGCATGTTCTTTAAATAAGCATTTAAGTAACGCTTATGTTATGCATTACTTTCCGCTCTGACTTTCAAACAACGTCTTTGATGTCTAACCGACATAATTAGAATCGATTTCTCTCAAGAAAGGGTGTGCGGGTCGGAGCAAGAAGTAAAGGGAAGCGCGGTTTGATAAGCAGTAATTATTTTTAGGAGCGGAAAATATTTTGAGAAGTTGTTAAAACAGTGCAGACTGCAACGAACGATCTTGAAGTTTTAACTTATTTTCTACTCTGCAAAATTTGTTATTAGATATTGTTCCAATATTATTCGTCGTCTTGAGATATTATTTGTCATCTCTCAGATAATTGCTATAATTATTATTATAACTGCTTAATAACTACCATTATTATTATTGCTAGTATATCTTACATAAATATATATAAGTACGACAAGTATAAATATTTAAGGCAATATATCATAGATAATTCGCGAACGTTATCTAAATAAACTTAAATTTAGAATTATATTTCGAAATTCAGAATTCCGTCGTGTTTTGTATAAAACTGCACACTCGAAATAATCCCTGCTTAGAACGGGATAAGACGCTTGACGTACGCGACACGAGATGAGAGATAAGAGATAGAGAAAGAGAGATAAGAGGGGAGATATATACGTACCATGTATGTCGAGACAACCGAGCTCGGATATCATTGGGCTGGTGTTGATCTGGCACATGTAACAATCCCTGTCGGACTCCTTGAGCTGGCGAATGTGTAGACGCCACGTGCCGTTGACGACTTCCTCCGTGGCCTGGCTACTTCCCGTTACACCGAAGGTGTTGCCGGACGTGCCGCCGGATCCGGCACTTCCGCCGCTCTCGTATGAGACCGAGATACGTGCATTATGCGTCACGATCCGCGTGTGGATCGAGAGAATCGTCTGATCTGAGGCGCGTAGCCAGCCGACCTGGAAAATTTCGCAGTGCGACGCAACGCGAATGCATTTGCCGTTTTGTCGAATAGCGCGATTAATCGAGCGATTAATTAATCATATTTTATTATAATCTAGAATGATATTTTTTTCGAGTAATTAATTAATATACAAAAAGGAAAATATGGAAAATAGACATGAACAGTTAATAGTTGTAAAAATTATTATAAGAAAATTAAGCAAGATTATAAATTAAGGGCAAATGTGTAAAAAGGAAAACGAATTAGAATGAAAAAGGCATTTCGTATACAATCTTTCGATCTTTTTAGAAGAGATAATTTTTTTCTTAGTTTTTTCCAGCAGGTTTTGAGACAAATTGCGCGATTTAATGCGACCTAACGATTTGTTTCACTTTCGTTGGCTTTGTTATGTTCCACTTTTGATGAAGAGAGGTGACGCGATATGAAGATTAAGCACGCGTTGAAGAGACAAAAAAGGAGAATTTTTACAAATTTAGTATATTTTTCACTCCATGGCGATTCAATTTTGTCGCGTAAGCACGTCTCTGGCGAGCATTACGTGACCTTACGTTTGTGATATCGAAATTTGTTACACTGCGTTTTATCATCGTTGTACCTCGGCTTGTACTTTTTCCCATTTTCCGTCGCGAAAAACCAAACGATTTCACTGAAAACGCTGGCATTGCGTTGCGCTTGACGGTTAGCGCTTTAATTCGGATAAACATTCTGTAGAATTCATTCGTAAACCACGAAATTGCAGTTTTCAGCGCCGCGAAAATAACTATGAAAAAGAGTCAAAGAGATCGTAAAAACTGTTGATAGTCCGAACGCAGATCAGTCGAAATCCCATTATGAGGTAAAGTGCCATTAATGTAACGAATGCGTACGAATCGGCATAACGAGCATAAATCCATTCACGTTTATGTCTACTATCTTTTCTCTTTATTCCTCGATGTCATTACCTTGTATTTGCGGATGCTTATGTTGCGTACGCTGCAGGAAAAGACTACCTCGCGACCGATCGCGGCTGTTTGATTCCCAACTGGCGCTACGAAAATCGAGCTTGTGGCAGTGTTTGTTGAATCTGAAACATTCGTATTTTAATAGAGATGTCAGTGAAAATTTCGTTTGATTATAGAGAAGAATTAGGTGAGGTGTTGTGAATCACTCATTAAGTTACACATTCGAAGGATTTTTATTTTCAGACATATTTTCACACATATAATTCCGACGAAATAACCGGTAACTCCCGGAGCGACTAACAATAAGTAATAATTCAATGCCATACCGTCCACTATTTTCAACCCATCCGCCGACACGAGGAGAGATTAATGGAAAAATATTGGAAGGCGGAAATTCCATCGTTAACCCCATTCATTACGGTGACAGTGAAATTTCCTTTGAAAATATTTCAACGAGAGCCGCGCGCGCCACCGGGGTGGGAGGTAATAAGTGCATGTCGCAAAGTTTCTTAAGCACTATCAAGGGTAGCTAATTATCGCTGCTTATTCACGCCCGTTGGTGGATTACGACGTCCCTAAACAGATAATGTCAAGTGGTTCAAAGTTGTGGCGAACTTGGTCGACGAACTTCCGGGGGCGACGAACGGCTTCGTACGTGAAATTCTTGTTTGAGATGTAGCGTGGCGATCTTTTTGTTATTTCCGACATTATCGCGAGTACGTGACGCGGCGCAAATAGTCGATAAATAAGTATCACGCCTTTGTATGTGAAAGATAGAGACATGCTATCTTTTAAAAGTATTACGGCCGCACTCTATCATCTCCTCCGGCGCGTTTTATCACGCCCTAACGCGCGAAATATAGCACACGGAGAATAACTTGGGATTAAAAAAAAAAGGAAGGGGAAAAAAAACGAATGCCACTCATATCCAAGTCGCCACGTACGATCGTGTTTATTTCGCATGTTCATGTTATTTTCCGACTGTTTCTCAATGTCTCAGACTTTCCTTCGTTCTTCCTCGGTTGCTTACATTCTCGACAAAAGTTACATCTGACGTAGGCAATATCCAAATTGCCTCCACGGATTTAACGTTTCTCTGAGACGGCACCGCGGGACAAATCGCCGGGGAAATGAAACGAGCTGCCAGATTAGACAGTAGCTGCAGCGTCCTTGTCGTAAAAAGAGAAAAGGAAGAGGCGCCCGCGTAACGGCGGCGCACCGCGTCGCGCCACGCCGGTGTGGAAACTCACACTCTTTTGTACTAAGCGAACGACCCAAATTCTCCGTTGAAAGGAGATGGAAGGACAGATGAGACGGAAGAATGTGGCGTAAAGAACGAAAAAACTTCAAGTTTCTGATTATTTGCGTTATCCGAAATGTCTTGTGCGTGTCTTATAACACGTCAAACCCAATTCAATTTCGGTTATCGTAGAGAACGGTGGCGATAGCGTGACAGTAGTTTATTTTATCTTGAAAATTTTTCCCGAAGACAAGAGCAAAGAAAATTAGAAAAAATAACGTAAGAAGAATAATTGTAAAAAAAAAAAGGAAAAAAATGCAGGAAAGAAAAACATCGAGTGATAAAAATATATTGGCTGTCCCAAACATATCATCCGGTAATAAAATTCCTAATTTATTTGGAGGCGAAAATCTTTATACAAAAATGTCGAGGCTACAGTAATTTTTAAAAATACGAGATTAATTTTTATATTCATATGAAAAAAACGGCCAAAAAAATCTGCTACTAACGAATGATACGGTTGGTCTACGGGGCGCTCTATGGAGCGAAGCAAATAATTGTTAAAATTAATGAATTCCCTGAATATTATACGATCGTAATACCTCAAAAGTCTTGTAACCGCAGCAGATAATAGACATCGCTCGCATATTTAGGTTGCAGTTTCGTTCGTCGAAACAGACATATCACTACGCGGCAAGCTTGAAAATTAATGTATATACCTTGCTCTATCCGTATTCGAGGCAATCAAAGGCCAGACATTCGTTGCATTTTTATTACGCGTAACTTACCAGGAACGAGAGACTTTCTTCTTCAACTTTGTGATTTTGCAATACGGCCGCGGACGTGTCTGCTGGATCCGGAGCAAAGTTTCACGGTGAGCATTTCACGAAATTCGTACGGAAGCGAAATCGCACGTTTATCGCGCATCTATCTCGTTATAGTAGTGATAACTTTTCATACCTTGGCGCGCAAAAGAGTACAGTGACTCGAATAATGACACACTCCACAGCTGCCACACTTTCCGTTAGCGCCGATAACCGAGAGAAAATAATCAATCATCCTCGACATTCTGCAATTTTCTCGCGTTCGCTCTCTTCTCCTTCTTACATCACTTCTTATCTCGAGTATTTCAAAGTAAAGTCAAGGCAGGAGGAATCAATACGGTCGCCACGTACCGCGCGCAATCATTTTCTCGCCTCAAACGAGTGCACGTTGGCGAGAACGCCGAAATCAAATTCCAAGCACACCAGCATGTATCTCAGATAAATACATATTGATGCGAGAAGATTACGAAGGGGATATGTCTGTACGAGTAAATGCGATTTTTGATACGTTCTCCTCTTCGGCGTGACGGTCAGTTTGGGTGTGTAGAGGAAATTCTCTTTCGGCAATTTCTTGTTTCTTATCTCGATCGATTCTTTCGCTTTCCGATCATATATTCTCGCGGAAATCATAAAATTGTACACATTCAGAATGTACGTTCCTCCAATATTTTCGACATATTTGATATTAACGATATTGTTATCGATTAGAAGCAAAATAATAAAAGTTGTATTTGTTATCGGTACACTTGCTTGAAACTAAAATGTATAACGTCTTGAGTGTGCTCGAATGCGCGCGTACGAGAATGCAAGAGACGAGACTCGGGAACAGAAAAGAACATCGCTTATCATAAAATCGCTGAGGGGGATACAATTCATGCAATGTGCAACGGAAGTTATTATTAAACGTCGCACAGCGATTTCCGAGCTAATGAAGGACGCAAGAACTATAAATCTTTCGCGTGTTTCGGGTATATGTATGCGCATGTTCAAGTACGCGTATAAACTTCTCATGAAACTTCAGACATCTCAGGAATATTCCAATCTCCGAGTACACCGCGAAGGTAGACGGTTCTAAATATGAAATTCTCTTAAGCGAGATCGGCACGCGAGGGGATCTTCCCCCAGTTGGGTATATATGTAGTAGCAAATTT